ATGATCAATTCTCATCGCTGTAGCTTAGGGGTAACTAATTCTCTCCAGGGTGCGTCTGCACTACGTAGTTGTTGCTGACCTTACTCTTCTGGGCCCATGTAGCGTCCCCATGGCTCTCAGATATTATTGTTTACCATATGTCATTTCAGTTCAAAGCACCTGGAATGTTGTGAGGACTGTGTTGGATGCCACCACAGCACTACTGGGACAGCGTGAAGTCAGAAGATAATGTGGCTTGCCTTGGTTTGATGGCAGCTAAGGTATGAAGGTACAAACCCCACTGAGACAGTGTTAGAGGACAGTGTAGGGTAAAAGGAGACAAACCTACTGCAGTCTTGTCCACGCTGCCTTTTGGGTAACAGTCCCTGGAGTAAGCCTGTGGCTTAAGGACACCTACTAAAGCAATCTAAAACAGAGCCCCAGAGCAAGCTAAGGGTTGAGTAGTGTCGGGATGGACAGTCAAGGGTGCTGTGTCTCTTTCACTCTTCAGCCTCTTTCATTTAGCGCTGTGGATGAGCCCACTAAGACCCAACATCAGATTTGTGATCAGAAGTATGTCTGAGAACCACACCTGGAAGTGAATAGGCAGAGAATCAAGCCCCAGACTGCAAGATTCCCCTTATTTCATGAAACAGCCTCCTTTCCAGGCTAAACTCCACAAATGACTCACACATGCACAAAATGAAGCATCATGCAAATACATTTTGGTTTTGCCTTGCTCTATGGTGTGACCTTCACCTTCAGAGCCCTGTTCACCCACATTCCTTCGCTTTAATTTTTTTTCTCAGATTTGTTTAGTTTGGCTCTTTTCATAATTATTATACATACATAATTTTCTGTTTTAATTTGGGTTGGTTTGTTTCCTTTTGATTTGGGGGTCTGTTACAGGCCTAATTATTTTCTCTGCAGGGACAAAGCCAGATGTTGCATCACCTGCCTTTGCCTTGCTAAAGACAAGTAGTTATTTAACATATCTTATGATCTTGAAGCTGTTTAATTAGTTTGGACACTTGATCCTACTACCTTTTTTTTTTAAAAAAAAAAAAAAGCATAACCAGAACAAATACAAATTTATCTAAAAGGAGTCAGTGTTTTAAGCTCATCTTAGGCACTGTTCTATGCCTACCACAACTGTCAATGGCATTTCACTGTTCTTACATTGTCAAATATTTAAGACAAGTTTAGATGTATCGCTTTCTTTTCCCCTTTGCTAGGTTTCAATTTTTATTCTTCCTTTTAAGAGTGCTCATTCACCTCAAAATACTTTTTTTTTCAGACAGGGACATGTACAATGAGGATGGCATTTCTTGTCTTGTTATATTTTAATGTAACATTACAATAAAACATTGTCAGGCCGTCAAAAAATACTTAAAACAGGTCTTTATTCAAATTAAACAGGTGATAGTACTGACTTATCTTTCCGGGTTCTTAGAAAAAATCCATCTCTGATAGCTAAGATTTCACACGATATCTTGCATATTAGTAACTTCTGTATGAGGTGCTTTCACAGAATATAATAGGGCTATTACTTTAAAGGCCTGCTACTTACTTATCATATAAATGACAGTTTGAGTGAAATGCTGTATATATTTCAGATGCCATACAAATACATGGCGTATACCCTCCACATTTAAAATATGAAGGAGACATTTTTGGTATCTGAAAATTAGTTCAGTCCCTTGTGAAAAAGGGCAAGCAACAACCACTGGAAGAAAGAAGATAATGGAGATATAGGTATTTAACACATGTATTTGCCCTAATATGAAAAACTTTCAAAGACAGTTGAAAGATGTTATCAAATACCTTTTTGCAACAGTCTTGCTGTCCCAGCTGAATTGCCCAGCCTTAAGCAAAGCTTGTCAGCTTCAGCACAGTGGTCTGCTAATGCACCTCAGCATCTTCTGGATCACAGCTTGTGTCCAGCCAGTTTGGGGCAAAGCGGAGGAGCTCAGGTCAGTCTATGTCTATCATGGTAGAAGTGTCCACAGAATAAATTCCTGGCTCTAAAGTGAACTACAAAGTTCCCAAATGTTTTAAAGGAGACCAGGACTTCAGTCCTAAATTACAAGGGCTCAAAATGCAGATTGGTAGGTGTGTCACTTTCTTTTAGTTCAGGATATGAAATTGGACCAGTCTTCACACAGCTGGCCTTATTCAGTTCAATGGGGCTTGTGAAATAATAACAGGGTTTGACTGAGGAAGAGAAGTATCTTAACAGGACAGGTCCCGTGGAGACCCATGCACCTCTGGGCTTTCTTGTCATCAAGAGTCCCTTTCCCTCAGTGGGAAAGCCAGAGCTGCAAGGAAAAAAAAATTGATCTTGCATGCAGACGTTATAGAGGATGCATTTTATGTATCTCCTTTTGGCCACTTCTTCAAAAAGATGTTTTCTGTAAAGAGATCTAAGATGTTTCTAAATCACCTGAGTAGTGAGGTGGAAAAACAGAAGCAGTTTTCCAGGAAGACAGGGTGGAAGGGAAGGACCCTGACTTCTGCTTGGTTAAAGATCCTTCCTCATTTACATTTTGAGCTCTTTTTCCCAGGGACTCATAACCCAAGTGAAAAACTACAGTTAAAACACAAAACTCCAAAGACAAAGAGAAACTTTACCTTAGACATATACTGTTAAATAGAAACATACAATTTCCAACTACTGAAAGGTAGAAAACTTTTGGTTCTTTTCTTTAAGCTGTTCCGAAACCTGCTGCAACTGGAAATCTTGAGAGCAAGTAAGTATAAGTGCCCTGGAATTGCCATGGTGATGAGACTTACAGCACAAGCAACTCAACAATTGACAACATTTCTTTTGAGACACCTGGACCCGGGGCTAATGTTTAGAGATGCACTTAGGTTTATTTTTTAAGGTCTAAGAACACTCTCCCAGTAGACAGAGTGAAGAGTAATGAAAAGATAATATATTTCCAAGGTTTTTTACAGAATGTGAGTATGCATCTTTGAAAAAGGACTGTTTTGTATAAAGGCTGATATTTGTAAGCCAGCAATTTCTCGCTTGTATTACATCAGAGCTGTAATGTGTGAGAAGTCCTGGTACGAATGTATATTCTAAAAGGGTCATTTAAAAGAGAAGCTTTCCTCCTGTTTCCTTGGGTTCACAAGTTTCTACCTACCAAAACTGAATTAAAAAAAAAAAAGCAAGTAGTTTACAAATATAAAATTGAGAGGCAAAACCAATTCCTACAAGCATCTTGAAGAGATGGAGTCACATCTTCATGGAGATATTTTTCACAATGAGTAACTTTGTGAACTCAGTTGCATATTATATCTGATGATTTTTTCTAGCTATAATAGCAAAAGACACCAAATTTGTAAAGAATTCCATTCTGAGACTTGAGTGAAATCCCACAAAAGAGGACCAAGTGGCCATACACAACAGTCAGAAGTCAGCTTAAGTGAAACACAGCAGGAGTGCTACGTCTCCTTCCTAATGGGACCCTTGATTCAACCGCTTAATACGTTATTTCTTTCTGTTACAGAAATGTCAGTTTGACTTAAATCTCCATTGTGCTAAGCTCTGAATACCTATAATGGGGGACACGATCCCTCTTCTGAAGCCTTCACAATTTCTGAATAAGATTTCAGTGTGGAGAAAAAGTATTTTAAGTTAACATACTTTCTTGTATTTTGAAGCTACCTGATAATTACTCTTTAAAAATAATGAAATAATTAGTGAAAAAGTATACATCGGGCAAAAATCTTCTTGACAAAAAGCTGAAGTAGTTCAATTATGCAGGACTTTTAAAGGCATGACTGAATATAAAATTTGGCACCCTAGATTTGGACATCATCCTCTGCTTTGTGTATCATGGCCTGACATTGGAATTAACAGGTAGCAAGAAAGTGTTATAGCTATTTACATATACTTTTTTTAACAACTGTGAAAACATTTCTCCCACCAAAACCCAACAGATTTAGGGAGGAAAAAAAAACCCAACACCACACAGTAATGCAATGGGGTTTGTTTATCATTAACGATAGTGCTTTAGTTCAGCTGTATGAAGCCAGGACACTGGAAGTGGTCTGATTTGGAGAGATGCTCCTGACATCTAAGAGCTCTGCAGCAGGAAGGGCTCCGCGTGTGAGGCACTCCCTACCCGAGACACTATTCTTGTTTCAGATGATAGATGAAATTGAAATGTTTTTGATTTTTCCAGCACTCAAAAAGACAGAATTCTGGTCTTATTTCGTCTGGAAACTTCTGAAGTGTTGCAGCTTTCTGTGGGGGTCTGTATTGTGTGTACCATGTTACTCAAAAAAGTTCCTCCTCTGCTGCCAAAAGAAAGGCTAAAAAATGTGTTATTCTCTTTCTTTTTTTTTTCTTAGCATTACATGTAACAGGAGACAGCTCCCCCCTAGTTATAAAATATTGACCAAGAATTCTTCATTCATTAACAAACCCATGCTTAGCCTTGAAAAATTCAGTGGAACTGGAGCAGGGAGAATTTTTCAGTGTGCATTATAAATTTTCTTGTTTCTTATAAATTTTTCTTGTTTCTTATAAATTTTTCTTGTTGAAGTTAATAGCATAAGTTTGTAATGGTCTCAATAAGGCAATGGTCTTAATTTAGGTGAAATTACTTTCATAAATTTGCATAACATGGCAATGCAAATATATCGCAGTATAATTTTATTACAAATTAACTGAAAATATATCTGCTCAGCTTGATTTAAATGGTTCACATGAAGATAACATCCAGCCTACATACAAAGGGCTGTCTTTGCTGAATGGTTTCAGGTATTATTATAACAGTGTTATTAAAAACAACCTTGTAGATTACTACGAGCACTAATGACAGCAGTAGTGTGCCAGATTTCATTAACACCATAGACCCATTATTTGTTATTCCTTCCATAGGTATTGAAAAATTCAAGAAGGTTGGCATGTGTCAACCACATATCCTTGACTTGAGATTTCAGTGCATTTTCTTCAAGGTTTCTGAGTAAAGGATAGCTTGCTGTTTTATCCTAATTTGGTGACTTACCAAACAAATGAGGACCTTCAGTAAGAGAAAATCCATCAGCAGTGGCTAGCTGGTGATGTCCTATTAAATTCATTTCAGATCCCATTTATTCTTCAGTTCAGGAGGAATATGCTAATTAAGAAATAGGTTGAAAGGAGACCCTGAAAGACATAAAGCAAAAAGAATATTTAAAACACAATAACTCATTTTTGTGTACCTATTCTAAGGCAGGATTCAGGAGGTTGTTGCAATATTTACTGTAACAAACAATGGCTTGAAGTTACAATACCTAATTCAGCCTTTAAATAAAATGCTGCATCTAGTTTGTTTGGTTTTTTCCTTGCTGCGGTATATTTTATTTGCCATCCTTCCACTGTTCATGTAAAACTAAAGATGGTTTATGCTCAGCCTTATTCAAATATTCACAGACTGAAGCACTGGCCTGACCTGCTGAGGGCATGCTGCCCAGGCCCCCTTCCAGGGAATACCAGTTGTTTGCATTATTTTTTCATCACCCTTTCATCATTTCATTGGTTTTGCTTACTGAAAAAGTGGAAGTTTATGGTTAGGTCAGAATAATCAAGCCAGGAAACTTGAGTTTGATTTCCAGTGATTGGCTCTTTATCTTGCCTTCAGTAATTACTGTCTGAACAAGATAAACGGTGGCAAAAAAAAGAGAAAGCAAAGCCTTGGTCTAATAATCAGGGTCACCCACCCCGCTCCCTTTGCGGTCTCAAGCAGCCACGTGACTCTCTCGCTTCGGGAGGTTGGGAGATGCTTGGTCCTGCTCACTAGCGTACTTTCCAGCAGGTCAGACAGAGCAGCTTTCATCTCCTGAGGGTGACAGTGGCACTGTACCTAGGTCTTCTCCTTCTCTAAGCACTAGGTTATTTAATAACAGGCAAGAGGCCTGCCATCGCCCCCTACTCAAGCAGAGGCTGTCACTAGATCAGCACCGCATCCAGGAGGAAGGCGTGCAAGAGGCTCCCTTGCCCAGCTCTGGGGAGGGGCGGGGGGTCAGGATGGTGCAAAAAGGGGTTCTGGCTCATGTGGGTGGGATGGGGCAGCTCAAGGTTATATTTGGGGTGCAACCATCAGCAACAGGAGAACATACAGCTCCAACAAGGAGGTGTCTCAAAGGCTTATGCAGACACCAAGAGTATTTTGCATAAAGTTGACAAATCTCTTTTGCTTTGTTTTATAGTCTTAATTCTTTATTCGGTTTTATTCCCATGGGACTGTCCCAGAGACTGCGTTTCCACTCAGTGAAGGCGTTTGAGAGTCATAGCCCAGTTTGCTTCCCAGTGAGGGCTCAGCATGTTTCTTGAGCAGAAGTGAAGTCATCTGACAAAAACGTGAATGCAGCAGGAGGCCCCAGTGCTGAGCAGACTGGGAAGTAGCTTGCGAGAGCGGCTAACACACTGTGTAATTATATTCAGATTTGTCTGTAAGGATTCATTAAGTTCTTTCTTAACATAAACAAAGGCCCTCTAATTAGACAGATGCATTTTAAATGTCTGCCCACAGATAATTTAAACAGTTTACTCGGAAATGTCAAAAGCTACTTGTATCACAGACCAGATACTGTTCTTGCGGCAAATAACATGTAAACACACAGTCTCAAATCTAGTGCAGAAACACAGTTTTGCAACAGCAAAAAACTCCATGCATCTTGGGATGGGGGCTGGCAACCAGCCCAGCCACCCCAGCAGGCTCACGTCTACTTCCAACCATTTTACTGCCTCGCTGCCACATTTGCTGGTGAAGGTATCCAAGAGGTGGGGCTGCCCGCATGGCTGCAAAGGGTTGTCAGGAATTGCAACACAATTTTTTCATGAACTGCCCATGACGGACACTTGGGAGGGGGTTCCTTTTACAGCCCCTTACGAGGGTTCTGCCATGGGAGAAAACAGCAGCATGGTCAGGACCCTTATAATGCTAAGAGCAATGTCAAAATGAAGCATCTTCAGAGGGCTCCTGAATGTTTCTCTGGATTTTCTTGCTGAAGACCAGAGGAGAAAGGCCATCTCCACCCTCTCCTCATGTCCAAGCCCTTCAATAGCTTTCTTACAGCCCACAGGCATGCAACTCTTGCAGTTCCTTGCAAGATTAGTTCTCCCTGCAGCCAGACTTGAAGATTACATTCCGTCACTACTGCTACTTCTCATGTTTCCTCCTTAGACCCTTTATTAGGAGCTAACACTGCAACAGCTAACATGTCACCTTGGGATTGTGAATTTCTGTATGTTCATACAGAGCCTAGAACTTGTCTTAGAGAATGTTGGATGTTCTATCAAAATGCTTTAAAGACACTCCCAAGATGACATCCATTTTAAAGTATTTTGTCAGACTATCGGTATGCAGTCAGACTTTCAATGCATAGCTTCTTAGCTCATAGGGTATATATCCTGCCTCTGTCTAGTCTGTGCTGCAAATAAGGAGAAAGTAAGCAACCTGTATTTTTAAATGCTAATATAGTGTCTGTGGTTTTACAGTCTCTTTGAAATGTCTATAAACTTCATTCTTGTTTCTTTGAGGCTATTCCATTTTTTAACATGCCATTAGATAATGTCACTCTTTAACCTCAAGGTAGCCTTCTTGGAATCTATTATTCTTTACATATACACAAAAACCCCACCCTGGTGCTATTAATATTGCCTTGTTTATAGTAAGAAACTTGAGGATATATTTGTCATAACCTCTCAGCATGCTAGGACATTACAGGTTTTGTAACTCCACCCCTGCTGCCACATTAATTTTGATCTGGATGGATTCAGTTTGAGTCAAAAGTTCATGATGATTTTACAGTTCCCACCTTTTTTAATACTTCATTTTCTTTAATATATTCAGTTGATGTACACCATTTACTGGATTTCATGGAAGAAATTAATCCTATCTTCCGGGGATTTCTGCAAGGCACAAGACATGATCACCATTAAAAGGCTGGAAATACATTTTCCATTACATGTAGCTTTGTTACTGTAAATTTTCCTGAACACTTAATTAAATAGTGATTGACATTTTGCTTTGATTTGCCCCTGAATCCAGCCTGCTCTGAGCCATCTATCCTATATTAGATTTATCCAATTAATTTCACCAGTATTTAAAAGCAGCAGCTACTGATTTCCAGCTTTCAGACCTATACCAGGTGCACAATATGGAGCATTTAAGCACCACTTATTCCACACATTGTTCAGTTCTGGGAAATAGTATAGGTCACCATAAGCAGGTGTTGGAAGGCATCACAGACCCAGGGGTGGACTCCACTGTTGAAGTGCTGGTTCCACAATGCACATCCCATCATTAGCCTCTTCTCAGCCTAATCCTCCTAAGCTGCTGCTGTGGTTACACACCTGTGGTCCCAGTAAGCTGCAACTCCCATGGAGCAGCTCCAGAAGCATTATCTGGCCAATGGGATAGTCACACCCAGCAGACATACAGAGGCACCCAAATTGCTAGCAACACGGCCAGGTGACAAAGGGTGCCATCTACAGCACCTATGCACAGAACCTCTTGGCAGAGGTATTCCTTCCAAAGATAGAGGGTCTGGAGCAATTTTTTCTCCTGGTAACATAAAGCTATGTCATCTCGGCTTCCAGAACCAGTTCAGCTACATGAACTGGGATCAGTAACCACTCTCTTAATTCAAACTTCTTTATCCACCAAAATTACATCATACTGGAATACTTCGTGATATTCACAGGAATCTTTGGCATGACTAAACATTCATAACTATTTCTACCTCATACTTGTTTCCTTATATGAAGTGTGTCTTTTAGCTACTTCTATCAAGATCAGTCTAGACTGTCTTACTCAACTTGACTGATACTCCACCTGAGGTGTAACAAAAAACCACATCAGAGAGGTAAAAGCTGAAATAAAGGCAATAGGTGCACAGGAAATCAATACTGCTCTGCAAAATAAGAACCCCTCAAGAGAAATTAAGAGGCATGGAATAAGTTAGAAAGCTCCTTTTTTCCCCAGAGAATTATTTCAGTTAACTTGTTAATAAATCCTATTTACTCCACCATCTTTTGAGATTATTTTCATAGGGAAAATATACAGTGAAGAAAAACAGAGATCAGTATGTATAACGTAAAATATATGCCCAATTGCTTGAGATTATTTTAATAAATGGCATATTAAGAACTCTGAATTACATAAAATTATTACATGCATCTTTTAGCATACTTCAGAACAGTCAATCAATGCATGATTATGTATTCTATGTTTAACTGAGAAAATTGAGATATATATTATTATATATGTGGCTTGTTCTTTCACTGTAGGTATGTGCACGTTTATTCAGCTTTCCTACAAGATATATGCTCATGAGTGTATACAAATATATATGCGTACAAATATGCACATGCATGTGGGTGTGGGTTTCAGATTTATTGTGGACTTCTATCAGTGGACAGCCTCTGACCCCACTATGGTCAATAATAAAGCTTCACCTGGCTTCCGTGTAAGCAAAACCAAACTTCTTAATGAAATAGAATCACAGAATGGTAGGGGTTGGAAGGGACCTCTGGAGATCATCTAGTCCAACCCCCCTGCTAGAGCAGGATCACCTAGAGCAGGTTGCACAAGATCGCGTCCAGGTGGGGTATGAACATCTCCAGAGGAGGAGACTCCACAGCCTCTCTGGGCAGCATGTTCCAGTGCTCAGTCACCATCAGAGTAAAGAAGTTTTTTCTCACGTTCAGATGGAACTTCCCGTATTCCAATTTGTGCCTGTTGCCTCTTGTCCTGTTGCTGGGCACCATTGAGAAGAGTCTGGCCCCTTCCTCTTGACCTCCACCTTTTAGATATTTATAAGCATTGATCAGATCCCCTCTCAGTCTTCTCTTCTCCAGGCTAAACAGACCCAGCTCTCTCAGCCTTTCCTCATGAGAGAGGTTCTCCAGTCCCCTCATCATCTTTGTAGCCCTCCGCTGGACTCTCTCCAGTAGTTCCCTGTCTTGCTTGAACTGGGGAGCCCAGAACTGAACACATAATAAAGTTAAAGTCAACTGGGCTCACTGAAAGACAAAAGCATCATATTCTCATATTTTCAGGTAAAGTAAAATAAGTTTGATCATCAGAAAAGCTCCATGATAGTATAATTGCATTTTACCTTCAGAAGAAGAATGGTTGAATCTATTTCAATTACTTAGTAAAGAAAAATATATCAAAGCACTGGCAAATTTTTTCACAAATATTAGTGAGGTACATTTCCCTCCTGTCTCGTAATATTGTCCTATTCTTTACACATCTGGCTGCCAATTGCTCAAAGAGAAATTTCAGTAACATCATTAATCTATGGCCCAATTCAAACACTGTTAACATCAATGGAAAGATTCCTGTCTGGTTCACAGGCTTTTGATCTGGCCTCATAGCCTTTTTGTAGAATATTTAATGCAGTGCCTCACTTATTTGAGAGGCTTTTTTGTTTGCTTGTTTGTTTTTTTTTATATAGTGTATCATCAAAGAGACATGAAAGCATTAGGAAGGTTCTTGTTCCTTGTTTCTAGCCTTTTGCTGCCAGATGATTTTGGTATGCGTGGCACCACGGGCAGCTACACGACAACTGATGTAAAATACAAGCGAGAATAGGAGCAAGTTTTAGAACAAGAGGCAGCACTGGTTTTACTGTGTTTGAAATTTACTGGTTAGATTTCTTTAATATGATATTTAAAATCAGAGGACCAAAAAGACACAAGACACAGAAAAAATATAGGATATTCTTACAGCTTATTTTGAAAGGAAAATATATGTCTTTAAGTCAGTCACAGGTAAAACTGAAAACTCTACCAACAATCTCAGTGGTTTCTGTAGGTAGGCAAGTAAATTCACAGAGTGGGGTCAGCTTCTGGCTGTCCCTGGGATGACCTGCTGACCTCCATTTCTCTGTGTCTTCCTTTCTCCAGCATCTTTTCCCTGTCTCACCTGATAAAACCCTCCCTTTTTAACCTGTTTTTGGACTCCCATCTAGCCTAGTGGGATCCCAATCTAGTTTGGGATCTATAGGTTCTCTGTAACACAAGCAAAAGCAGTAAAAATAACAAAAGCCAAATGTATCCCACCATGATTATAGCTTTCTGAAGATAAATGGTTAGCAGGAACACTCAGAATGAAGTGACATTTTCTTAAAACCTGGCAATGGTTTCAAATAGTAATCACTTAAAATGTGCAACTCCCTTTTGCTTGCGATAATGTGAAGTAAGTGCTAAAGTCCTGGACTTCAGAAGATGCACCTGGAATCTGTACACAAAACCGTCAAACAAAGAAATTACATAAAACAAATATAACCGTTGCATTCTAGATTGTCCTCTGTTCTCCCATTAATCACATTTAAAACATTTTCTGTTCCTAAAAGGATAAAAAATTAACAAACTAGTACAATTTTAAAGCTAATGCACATAATTAACTAGATATAGCATTATTGCAGAAAAGATTCAGTATCAAAGTTATGCTTGCTTTTCCAGTGACACACAGACACAGAAGCATCAGCTTTCTAAAGACAAATTCCAACATTGTCATTATTTTCATAACCTTAACATTTTCCCAAGGGGAATTACTGCTGTTGCACCAGTTTTGTAGATGAAATTACTTCTCCTTAAATCACTCTTCAATAAAATACTAGCTTTAAAAATCCTTTTCTTTCTGGTCAAAAATCCATTAATATCCACTAAATAATTCAGGTGAAAAAATTGCTTTTATACTACACAACAGCAGGAGCTATCAGTTTAAGGAATTATTACTTACTGTCCTTTTCTGGAAGACTGTGGATGGCAGGATGTAAGGCAGTTCTGCGCTCAGTTCAGTATCCTAACGATTCTCACACAGGAACATTTTTGTTTTGGTTTTTTTTTTTTTTGTGGGTTGGTTTTTTGGGGTTTTTTTTTAGGTTTAGCAGAAGCCTGTAGTGATAACACAATGAATCAAAGCTTGGGCTCATTGGCTCAGTGCCCTAATGGAGAAGGATTACTCATTAACAATTCTTTCTTTGCGAAACTCTCCATACACAGACTGTATTAAAACGTTGTCCATCAGCGCAGAGACTTGAGATGCTTATTAATACTCTGGCTGAGTGCAGGGGGGAAGTTGACTCAAAAAATGGGGCGATAGTACCTTGTTGCTGATTATAACACTATTCTTGCACATGTACATTTTTACAATATTCTCAGCCTCCTTGTCTTTCTCACCCAAAGAGCCCAGATGTCATTCCAAGACATATACATGACTTCTAAGTAATTCTGTTATTATTTACCCTTTTTAGGGGAACCGAGCATTACACTGAGTACTGAAGAAGCAGACTGGGCTATAAATCACAGCATCGCAGGGATTTGGGGACATTAAAGTTCGCTTCCTGGATCTGCCACACTATCTAACAAACTGCATCATTTTGATTTGGGCTCATCCCATAAAGCTTTAGGCATGAAACTGAGGCCCTTAACTTTAAACCTAGCAGACTCATGCACCTTTTGTACACAAGGGGAAGAAATTGATACCTGTAGATGGTGCATCACATCCTGGGTGGGCTGCACTGCATCTGAAAACACTTGCCACTGACAGAAAGGGGACCTTGAACAATACACCCCTACTTACCTAGTAGAGGAATTTAAAGTGGAGCAAATCCAGCCTGTTCTGTTTTAACATCCCACCTACACACCGAGGGTAATAAAGTTGGTGTTGGGTTGATGGTTGGACTTGATGATCTTAGAGGTCTTTTCCAACCTTAATGATTCTATGATAATTCCATGTTTTGCATTGCTAAACATATCCAGTGGGGATGAGTTGATCTGGCAGTGGTATTGAGGCAAATTTCAGTCAGAGGGAACAGCTGGCAGCATCGCTCATGGTCAGCAAGTTTATGTCTGCCACATGGTATATGCTTTCCATCCTTCTCTACATATTTGCACTGTCTGATCAAGAGTGAATACACAGAGACACAAGCGGTACCTCCTACTCCAGAAAAGAGAGGCATTGGGCAGCAAATACAGTCCTCTCTGGGAGAAAGGTGACAACTGCTGGCTCTGAAATTACCAAGAGTAAAATTCCCTTGCTTTTCCCCAGTTTAAGAGAAAAAAAAAATTAAAAAGGTATATTCATCCTCAAGCTTATATCAAGGAAACTGAAACTCTCTATCCTTCTCTTTAAAATGTAAGTAATAAAGGGTCTTTCTCATGTGTTCTGTCCCTTGAAAATTCACCTGGTAGCCAGCCAAACACACATGGTATGACAGGTTTCTGAAGAGGTCAATAGGAGAATGATGCTATAAGCTGTTACTGGACACTAGCACTCCCAAGGGGGTACTGTTTTTAGGAATTTATGCCTGCAGTTCATTCCAGCAGGCACTGGCCATATGATAAGTTAATTTAAGATTAAGGTGCTCTCAGTCCTCATTTCTGCCTCTCTGAAAGCCATCACTACTCTAAATGATGAGATTTCTGGTTTACAAATTCATGTTTAGCAAAATTGACAAAGTACTTTCAAATAAGAGAATTCTTCCAAAACAACCCTATCCACAGGAGACAGGTGATCTCCACAACTCCAAACATGCCAACATCCCAGCTGACATTTTCCAGTAAATGTCCACTCCATTGGTGCCTAGGAAAGACATGCCAAAAAAACCCCCCTCTCTCTTTGGTCATCCTCAGGCCAGTGATGGGATTTATCCCTTACCAGGTGAAGAAGCAGAGGCTGAGCCAAGAAGTCCATGAAATGTCATATTATGTCCCATGGAGCTTTCCATTTCTCCGTTCTGAAGACATTATAAATCTCTTTTTCAGCTTTCAGCCTCCCACAGCATTGGTCCTAGATAGTTGGTGGCACAATGCAATTGCTGTTTAGAAGTCCCTAGAGACCAACCTTCAATAAAGGTTGTTCCTCAAAAAGCATTTTCCTCTGTGTGGATGCTGTTTGTCAGACAGTGAAAAACTCGCCACAAAGGAAACCAAATTTAACACCCCTATTCTCTAACAAATTTGTTGCATTAAAACATTTTTCCTTTCCTTACAATAATAGAGGCAAGTGGCAAAGTGGTTCTTTGTCCACTAATCAATACTTTCAAGACATTATTGGAAAAAGCAAAGAAAGAAGCCACATGATCAAGAGATGTTGCCTGCAGCAACAACATGTAGCACTACTAGTTCAAGCCAGGTGTTCATATTTTCTTGTGGCTGATGTGCAAATGAAAATTGAACAGAGACGAATTAGAGCAAATCAAATATATCTTCTGTAGTGTTATGAGAGACTACCTACACAGCATCAAAGGAGAGAAGAAGAAGGGAAAAGATTCAAATCCAGTTACTTAGAAGTAGAGTATCTTTTTTAAGGTAGCATTGCATGCTATAATTTTTTATTTTGTTTTTAAATTTCAGAGAATTAATTGACATCCTAAAACTTCTCTAGATAATACTAACATTACTTCTGTAACTGACAAATAGCACATGTTCTAAAATACATCCATGCTCTTATCAGTGCAAATACAGTTCAGCTACAAAAATAGGGAGAGAGATATATATATATAAAACACTCAGGGCTGGAAATCTGTCGTCTTAGAAAATACCACTTCATAAACTCCACACTCCATGGAAGCATTGGAGGTTTTGTAGTAGTTCCTGTTTACTCATCCTCCTGCTACTCTGCCTTTTCTCCACTGAAATAATTGCCATCTCACACTTGCACTGAGAAGGAAGCTCCATGACCTCAGCCATGGAAAGAGAAGACAAATCCTGGCAACAAAGTAGTTTGTCACCAGAAGTGTGGATGGGAAAATCTAAGCATGGAAGGAGATAAGGGGACAGGAAGAAAAGGTAGGTTGGGCATTCGTCTTCAACATTTCCTTCTCTTCACATCCCTATGAATGCATCACCATATATTAAAAAAATATGAAAATACACCCCCCACACCCCCCCAAATGACCAGTACCACCTTCTTTTTTGCTTTAAAAATCCTGTCAACGGCTGTACAATTTTCTGCCTACTCACAGCCAGTTACTCGGAGCTGCAGCAGCATCGTACAGCTGACAACCAGTCACGACTAGCGAGAGACCTTGGGTCTGTGTTTGTCTGAGAGACCACGGGACATGCGTCTTCACTGAGATCTGCTTGGGCTCAAGAACCTCTTTCCCCCATGCTCACACCTCCCAGCACGAATGGCACTGCAGACACCTGAGGGCTCATCTGAACCAAACTTTGTGCCTCAGCACAAAGCATCAGCTACAGCTCGGAAAACGTTCCCACCTTGATTATAAACAGTTGCCACTAAACAGCAGAGTCACTTTTCTTTCATCCCTGCAGCACACCTTATTTATTATTGCTGCACAGAGGACACACATCATCTGCACCACTTTGGGTCATTGCCTGTCACCTCAGATCGGCCATTTCTCTCAGAAATATCACTATCTACCACTCCAGTGAATAAAGGAAGCTTTTAATTTCTTGAAGGATGGCCAAAATTATCACCAGCTTACAATAAATTTTATCATATGAAGATAATTGAGTAATCTTAATAGATAAGGCTGCTTCTGTACAGACTAAAATAATAGGAAAGGAATGGGGTTCAAAGTTTCACTGAGTTAACTCTAGTAGCTGTCTTTTTTCCCTCCTGCATTTCAAAAGCAGAGGAATAACTCTGCTTTTAAGATTAGTTTAGCTTATTCAATTAGTCTTTCTTTGATCAGAGCCTCTTCATTATAAGTTATTCTCTGATGAAATCCAATATTCTGTCTTTTTCACTTACATATTTAAAGTGGAGTGTCATGAAGGGTAAAATGACCATGGAACAATCTGTCCTAAGAGGAGGAATTCCTCCCTGATGACAGGCAGTTAATAGTTAGCCAACATGCTCTAACAAGAACATATATGTTATTAACCAGATACATCTTACAGCTGCCTGGGTACAAGAGGAGAGCTGAGCACATGTGGAATCAGCAACAGTATCAGATACTGAACTTCAGTATGGGGGAACTTGGTCTACCTCCCTCTAGCAGACTTCAATTGAAATTTGAATGTGCTTTTCTATAAATAAGTTCTGGTTATTCCGCATTAGATTCTCTCTCATTATTTTAAATTTTAATTAAGGCACTGATATTACATGCTCTTTTTTGATCCCCCCTCCTGCCAGGGGTTACAAGTTTAAAAGTTCCTAGAGGAATCACAGCTTTAAGTTAAACATGTTAGTACAGTATTAGCTGATAAGAAGTTGTCCTAGAGGCCTCGGAGTAAATATATACTATATTCTTTCAATTTTTTTCCTCTTGACGTTTTGATGTTATACAGTATGATAGTGATTGAGTTCAATAAGGGTTAGCCTTCTTTTATGTAAATATTTGGAGAGATAAAAATATTATGAAATGTGGATCTATTACAGTAAATGAATGCGCTGTCCTTTCATTAATAAGTAGTTCTTTTAAACTAAATGTCAAAGGTGATGAGTGAAGTATTATTAAAAAATAAACATTGGGTTTTTTTAGACGGGTTTTTGAATTGCTAAAATATTCACACTAAGTAAATTATTTCTACAAACTTATAAACCTCTGCTTGTTCCTCATACTGCATATCAAGGAAAAGGAAAGATGTTTGAAAGGACTACTTCAGTAGCTAACAAGAAACAATTTATTTCAAGATGGGAGAAGAAATGTAGCCTAGCCATCATATGAATGGACAGTGTAAGCCATTGGAGGTGCAGGAGGAGCCTCTGCTAATGCTATTTGGCAAGCCAGAGTCACTGTTAGCCTTTTTAACTATCAATTCTGTACTCTGTTGTTCTAGAGGAGGCTCTGCTGTGCTCTGAAGCATTGCAGGCAGATGACTACTGTCATTGTGTATTGAGAGGGAGGAC